TGTGTCTCTGCGGGATAAAACTCAGCTCTCAAAGCCTGCCGGAGAGCATAGGGACACCTTGGCAATGGGATTACTTTATAACCACAAACATATTAAAGAGGATTCTTGCTCTGCAGAGCATGGAAAAGTGACAAGCAGCTTTTATTTATCATATAATAAACGTGATGAAAATGTGGCGAAAAGCCAATATGCAATCCAATGCTACTGTTTATGCTCAATTCTTTGGTCTAAATCAATAGAAGCCGTTTTTATTCTCTAATGCTCCTGCAACTATCCACCAATAAAAACAAAGATTAGACTGTAAGCAAGATTTTTACAACATTTGGGAGTAGAAATAATTAAAACAAAAAATAAATAAATAAATAAATAAATAAATAAATAAATAAATAAATAAATAAATAAATAAATAAATAAATAAATAAATAATAAATCTGGAAAACTTTTGTGTAATTTCCAAATGGTGGATAATTACCCCACTTACCTGGTAGAGAAGGTGTAAATAAGAGTAAATCTCTAATTGTGTGAAAGAAAGCTGAGCTAAATATTAGCATTTGGAAGGCTGGCGGTCTCATAGGATATTTAATTTTCTAGGTTGTAATAAAAAAAAAATCATTATTTGTTGAGTTTGGTGGAAACTAAAAAAAAAAAAAAAAAAAAACTCTTCCAGGCACAATTTCCCATCCTTTTCATCCCATCCTATCAGCCTTAATGTTTTATGATTGACCCTAACATGAAGAATTAGAAAAATAGCTCACTAGAATCATCACTTGAAGGACTATTTCTAAATGCAGCAAAAAAACAAAAACGAAAAACAAAAAAAGATGTAAACTTTTTTGAAAACTGCATTGTAAATCTAAAATATACGATTAGATGTGAAAACATAATTAATTTCAATAGGCTCAATTGGAATCTAGTCATTTTTTTCTCAAAATAAGTGCATTTTATCTTGGATTGAGGAGGTAAAACAGACATTTTGCCAATTGAACAAGACTATTTAAACTTAAAATAAAAAAACACAATTGCATTGTCTTATTTCAGAGTGTTATTATCTAATTATCTTATTTTAAGAGTAAAAACACTCATTCCATTGGCAAACTATCTCATTAAGGGTAAATACATTTAATTTAAGGAATTTTTACTTATTTCTAGATCATTTTTACAGGGTTATATTCAATACCCTTAAGAATCCCACTTGTATGTGAACATAATTCCCAAATAAACATCATATGGTTCATAAATGCTTCACTATAGTTTTGGTATAATTATAATTAATGTAATTTATGTTTTCAGAAAGAGACAATCAAATGTAAGTGAGATTAATAAAAATAAAAACAACAAAAAAATGTATAATATACTTTTTTGTATACAAGCTATACTTAAATGGATAAACCTTAGCATTGTTAGCCAGTCTAACTTTCCTGTGTTATTTCTTATAGAGTCCGTGTGAAAAACAAAACCAGACTTTAAGTAGTTGAAGACATCAGTCCATTCTTTTTTTCTTTTTTTTTTTTTTTTTATCTGTCGACTGTTTGTGCCGCCCACAGGCTGAATGACATCCTGGGTGGTGAGCCTTATCCCTTACACCAAAACCTTCCACTGGAAGGTGCAAATAAGATCTGTCATTTAGCAATATAAGCCTTTCATTTTCTCACACAACCTTCAGAAGCTATAAATCCGTTAAAGGTGATAATCATGACTGTTCACATAAAATAGCTAGAATATAATAAGAGAACAGAAAATAAACCAGGGAGACATATTTAATAACATCATTGTTGTTTTATTTAGAAAATAATAACAATGAGCAGCATATTCAAAGATGAAGGCCTTAATGATGGCACCTTCCAGTTCAATGAGAGAGAATGCGTTGTTTTGATTCCACCTCCTCATCTTGAAAAGAAGATCAGGAAAAAACACTTTTATATGGAAGAATTATCCCATCAAAACATACATTTAATTTCCTTTAAGCTAAATATTATACTGATATCACTCCAAGGTTGAGGCAGAGCATATTTGCAAACATGCTCTAAGATCTAACAGAGCCTAAAGTGAACATAAAATAACCCTTCATGTAATAATATTGTACTTTATATTCTAAATCTGAAAAATTGTGCGTTGTATTCCCATATATGGTAATCCCTGGAAACTATTTAACATGAAAAGCTGCAGGATTTGTCGCGTCATGTAGCTTAGCAATGACTGGTGTGTGTTTGCGTGTTTACGGAGGAAAAAAGGGAATGATGACATCATCTAAGGCGACAACAATAGGAACAATGACGACAACAGTAACAACGACAGTAACAACAAGGAATCAGCCCGTTTCAGGCCACATGCACGCTTTAGAAAAAAACAAAACAAACAAAACAAAACAAGTAACAGATTAAAGTTCTGTCTTCTAATGATATTAGGGGAGACCAGTGCCGGCTGTAACACAGAGAGAGTGTGACACAGACACACATCTAGACACAAAAGACACCAAATTAGACAAAGAAATGTATTAATTGTTACGCTATTTCAATAAAATAAGATAAATGGTTTATGAATAAAGGCTATTTTATAATCTATGGTTTAAGATTAAAATAAATTTGTTGCATGCTCATAAAAAAAAGACAAGTTTTGAAACCAGAAGGGTGCACCGATTGATGTGCCGGCTGATTGAGCCGATTTTCCTAAAACTTGCCTGATCTGTAATGAACTAATATGTGAAGCTGATGTTATAAACGGATTTATTTCTACAAAGCTCGTGAAACGAGCCACTATTTACTCTCTAAAAACTTTAAATCATATTTTGAGTACAGGTACCTCTGATGCAGTAGCAACAATTTTGTATAGTTTCAGTATTGTTCAGAGTTTTTCAATAAAATATGATTGGAAGATGGAAAGTGAGTCAGGACTTCATAACACCTAACATATATAAAGGGCTTTTTTTATTATTATTATTATTGGTTAATCAGCCAGAGAACTGGTATCAGTGCACCTCTAGTTCAAAACACATTTTAGTTGTTATATCTAATAAACTTACATTTTTTCTTTTTCTGCTACCTCCATTACAGATCTATCTTTTATTGATCCTGGTTAGAATATTTAACGGTATCCTTCTAGCCTTCTTTTTCATCTTTAAACCACAGACTGTTGTAATTTAGGGGGCATTTCTGTCCCTAATTTGTCTCTTGTAATTTGTTCCTTTCATGACGTGCAGTTGCTTTTTCCATCCAAACTGAAAAATTAAATTGATCACTTCAAAACTTTTCACAAATGTCTTCAGAAAGCTGTCTATTGGTACTGACACAATAGCCTGAGGGATTTTCAAACATTTAATGACAGAAAAAGAGGTTTTCACACTTCAACACGTCTTAAACATGAGACCCTGTAATGGAGGTGAAAACATGAAGGAATGAAAGGAAGTGTGTTATTATAACTCAGAGCAGGAGGGGGTCTGTTTTCACTGTTTCCTTATTCTTTGATTTTTTTACCATTTCCTGACATCAGTTCATGGTTTAGTTGGATCTATTTAGTCAGATGAATTGCAGCACATTGTGTTTTTTCCCCAGTTTTACACATAAGCACTAGATTGTGTTTGAATGTGATATCTTCTGTAGCTAAAACAAATTTCTTATTTTGCTGAACAGTGATCTTACAACTTTTATAAAGGAAATATTGGTTAAAATCTTATTTTAAAGATCGCTTATTGACGTCGGCCAGAAAACTGCAAATTGTGAGCCCCTAATTTTTTACCTAAAGAATGTATGGTAGTAATGACCTCCCTCCTTCAATTTAATTCATATTACATGTTATCACAACCACAAACTGCTGCTTTATTGAGGTGTTATAAAAAAAGCTGAAACAAATGAGCACATAAATAAGTAAAATGATGTTTTTTGGAAATACTTATTAATAAAATCTGAAAATTAGCCTTTTCTTAACTTACTTTAGATCTGGAAAAAAATATATACCCGCAGCATGATGCCTCCACCACTATGGCTCACCATGGGGAAGGAGTTGTTGTTTTCTTAACCTGTGACTTCTTTAAACTGCTACACATCTTCATCCCTGAGCTGCCTGTTGTTCTCCTTTATCTTCTGGATGCTTTTTGTTCAAGTTAAGTATGTTTGCTGAACTGGATTCATTTCATTCAGGAGTTTTAGAACAAAAAGGTCCAAAAAACAATCAACAAGCTCACCTGGTCCTATTTAAGTCAACTTTCCTTCCAGTTTACATTAATGCTTCACTTTGTTTTAGTCTTTGACATGAAAACCCCAAAGAAAATACTGCAATTTTTGGTCAAAGGGGAGTGAATACTTTTAGGAATGTGTTTTTATTTTAGAAAACCGTTCATGTAAACAAAGTCTTCGATTATGACCTATTTGCTATTAAGACCTTTAAGGTATATTGTTTTTCTTTATAACAATGCAGAGTTACAGGCTGTTTTCACTGTAACACTCATGCATGGAGGAGTTCTGATTATTTACGGCAGAGAGCAGTGAGGTGTTACAGCCCACCCTGGTCTCCCCACTGCAGTTTTCTAGATGATCTCCACAGTTTGTGAACAGATGATCGGGGCAGTCGATGCTGAGCATCACTGTTCACGGCTTTGCCGCCTCTTTCCCCATTTCAGGTGGGAATTACACATGTTGCACCGATATCGATACCAGTATCGGCCAGCGCCCGATCCAGAACTAAAATGGTGGTATCGGTATCTGCGAGTACCAACAAATAGGGCAACGATACCATTTTAAGAGCCAAAAAGTTATTCAACTATTGTCACCTATGTCACACAGGCAGCAGCTTGACAAAGCCATGATGGTGATTATTTTGCATCCAAGTAGTATGCAGTTCTTCATACACACACACATCAGTTTGAAACAGATGGTATCGGTATGGTATCGGTATGGGCCAATACAGGTATCGGGTATCAGTATCGGGCCAAAAAAATGGCATCGGTGCAACACTAATGAAAACTAGACGTATATAAACATGAGATACTCAGCCTCTGGTGATCATCATCAGTCATTCATACTCCTCCTCTCCCGGATCATCAGCTTCTTCATCTTCATCCTCCTGTTCTGGAACCAGATTTTCACCTGTCTCTCTGTCAGATTTAAGAGTCCTGCCACCTCCAGACGCCGGTCCCTTGTCAGGTACATGTTGTAGAGGAACTCCTTCTCCAGCTCCAGGGTTTGGTGCTTGGTGTAGGGGCACCTCTTCTTCCTAGTGGACTTGGCGTGGATCCAGCTGGCGGATGGATTTTCTGTGAGGAGAGGCACCAGAGGGGGAAGGTGTTTTAAATTAGGCAGGAGTCTCTGAGCTGTGAGACTTAAAGAAACTGAGAAACATTAAAAGCCTCCAGCTTTTGGTTCCTCTAAATTCAAAGAAGTAAAAACAACCAAATATAGTGGAAAAACATCCCCCTTCCCCCATTTCCATTTAGGTTTCTTTTTTTATAATTAAAGCAGAAAAAAAGGGCAGCAAAAAAGTTGTTGTTCTTATTGGTTAGTAAATAATTATTTATCATCACAGGCATGCCTGCTCTTATCTTAAAATAATTTCTCTACAGTTAATCCTAAAGTTTAAAATATTTTCCTTGAATATATCAATCTGTTTTCCCTCCCATACATTATTTCCTCTTGTCTTTATATGCTTTTATATTCTATTTTATTTATCTTTATTTTTATTTAACTACAAATATACACTTAAATAAACTCATACATGATTTTTTATTGTTTTTTACCCACAGTAAACTGTAGAAAAACCGAATCAAAGGCAATACACAAAATAAAATGCTTAATGTTCTTGTAATAACTAGAAATGCTAAATAAATAATCCAATGTACACTAATTCTCAGCTTAACTAAAATCATATTTGTGATCATTTTTATTTGTTTGTTTCCTACCTTGCGTTATAATAAAAAACAAGCCCACTAATTAGATGTCTTTTTTTATTTATTCAGTTTTTTCTAAGCTTAAAAAGACATGTTTATCATATTCTATGTAACCTTGTCCGTCATAATCAACCAGACTAATTAAAAATTACATATTTTCGCATATTTTTGGGGGTGAAACGCGTTCACTCAATTGAAGCAAAGGAAAAAACTAAAAGAATAAAAGCCTCTGTTCAAGTAAACCTGCGAACCTTTTGCTGACAAGCTGCAAAATAACAATAGCCTCTTAATTATTTCAATGGACTGTAAAGTTTTACATTTTAGGGTTTACAAGACGTTTATAGGCCTATAAACTCACCTACAGACAGACGCACTGAGCCACACCTGCGTGTTGGCGTTTCTTACAGCTAATAAACTGTTTTGTTTTTGTTTTTTGTTTTTTTTACCAGGGTCCAGCTGCTGCTGCTGCTGCTGCTGCTGTCGGGGTTTTCTCTCCTCGTTCTCCATCTTCGGCTCGTTTTTCTTCCCCAGCTCCTCCGCCGTCCCCAGCCGCTCCAGGACCACTTCTGCCGGGCTGCTGAAGCTGGACTCCTCCGCGCTGTGCTTGGCTGGAGGGGAGCTCTCTGGTTTAATCGCTTCATACGTGGGGCTGGGATGCGTGGGGAGACACGCGGGGAAAGCGGGCGTCACCTGCGACAGAGCGGCTTCAGAGGACGGGGTCACCCCCTCCCAGCAGCGGACGAACCTGCCGTCGGACGCCGCGAGGTGTTCGGGGTGAGATGGAGGCTGCGGGCCGTAGTAAGGATGGTGGTGCGTCAGGAGGGGGTGGAACAGGCCGGACTGCAGCTGGGAGGACGTCGGAGAGGAGGTAGCTGTGTTTGTCCAGGGAGAAAAACCATTCAGGCTCGCTTTGTTGGAAAAATGGGAAAAATCCGGGATGTGTGAGCAGAGGCTCCCCTCCTCATCCTCCTCTTCCTCCTGCTGCTCCGCTACCCGGGAAGGCTTCGCGCACCCGGCCGAGGAGCCCTGCAAGCCTCCCGGGATGAAATGCGCACCGAACGGCTCCTCGGTCTGGACACCCATCATGGAATAATAATTCGTTAGCGACATGTTTATTTTATTATTTCAATAAAAAGACACTTAAGTGCGCCTGTAAAACCTTAGATGGGCTGGTATAGCGGCTTGCATCCTCCCCTAAAATGGTAGTATTTTTTTCCTCCTGCCCTCACCTACTTCTCGCCTGCCAATTGGTTCCACAGCGGATCACATGATTAGATTATATTCCGCCTGGATGGGAATAAATCAAAGCATTCTTTTGTGTCCAGAAATGTGATCTAGAGCAGGCTGCTACAGATGGAACCCAATATAACATCCAAGTTAATGCGAGTAAAGCTGTTGTTTAAAATCCAAATAAAAATAAATAAATTGGGGTAAAAAAAAGTTTGAGCATGATCCCAAAAATGAGCGTCTGGAAGCTTCTAAAATGAGGTTTCACGATGGAAAACGTTCTAAATAGAAGTAAATTAATTAATGTGTCAAATTTACAGTCAGTTTCCTCGCAATATGCTTTTATATAGCTCAAATAAACGTGTTATTATGAGGCTAAATGCAAATAAGAAACCTCTTTTTTTTACTTATGAGAAGAAAATACACTCTAAAACTTCCATAATATGATTCTGCATGCAGAAATGTGTTTATTTATTTATATATAGCCTATATATTCTTATCACATATATCACTGAGAAAGTTGCAATCCTTACGCAAAGCGTTGCTGCAGTGGAAAAAAATTGAAACCTAGATAAATAATTTTTTCTTAAAATAACTGCATTTGTTCTTGGATTAAGGAGGTAAAAGAGACATTTTGCCAATGGAACAAAACTATTTATACTTAAAATAAGAAAACAACAATTGCATTGTCTTATTTAGAGTGCATATTATCTAATTATCTTATTTCAAGAGTTAAAACACTTATTCCATTGGTAAACTATCTCATTTACCTACATAAATTAAGGGTAAACACAATTAATTTAAGGAATTTTTACTTAATTCTAGATCGTTTTTTCAGTGTGCGTTTGCGTCCTGCGTGCAGGGTTTATCAAATTTTAGGCCTACTGGTGAATGCTTAAAAAAAAATTTTTGTTTGCTGATTAGTTTTTTTTTTTCTATCATTTACTGTGTATCAGTAATTAGTAGGCTACTTGTTATTATTAAAACATTTTGTTGTAAAAAGCGTTTTTTTTTTTTACTTAAAATGTGGAGATAAATATACAAGCTCACACAAATGTGCCCATGCGCCTTAAATGAATGCCAAAAAAAGGACATGCAAATATATTTACATATTTCTGTGTGTTTCGAGCTAAATTTAAAAAGTTACAAGGGATTATTAAACTAAGTTTCAAGACTGTAAGAAATTCACAAGTATTTTTTTAAGGCCTCAGTAATTCAGAAGGGAATGACGCGCGTCAGACTTGGCGGTAACGCTGCCCGTTGAAGCAATAATGCATCTGTCTGATTTTTTATTTACATTTTTTATATTTGTTAGCATGCATGAGGGTTGCATGCTAAGACAAGAAATTCACTTCTTTCCATTTTTGGGGGGAAAGAAGTGAATTTCCAATTTATCGTTCTTTATATTTTTAACAAAATAAACGTTTTGTAGATTTTAAACAACATTTTGGAGCAGAAAGTTTGTTACTTTAACTGGTATATAAATGTATAAATGTTAACTCCTTAACAAAACAATTTTAATTACTTTACTCCCAGTGAAAATGTGGTTTTGCCATTAAAAAAAGAAGTTCTTTTCTAACTATTAATGGATGTGTGTCCCTTAATATCTCATAAAAATAACCCATAATCATCTTAATGGTTATTAAAAACCTACACCTCTGGTCAACCTGGAATGTATCTGGTTTATATGATACAAAGCTGTTAAAGCTCCAGTCTTTACTTCACAAAAAACAAGTTTTATGGATGTAGAGAGTCTGCTTTCACCTCTGCTGCTCCTTGGCAGTAGGACTGCAACTTCCATGTTTTATGGGAGGAAGTCATGTAGTTTATTAAAGCCTACATATTTGAATTATTTATTTAATGAAGCATACAAAACACAAGCAAAAACGTGATACTTTTGACTAAAAAGATGATGCTGAAACTTTTTCCCTGACAGCTGCCTGCCAAGTTTAGCTTAAGCATTAAAGGAGTCATTAAATTAGTGAGGGTATGGAGAATTTGTTATTACTAGATTGAAAAGAAATCTATTAGTTAATTTAAAAGGATAATATAAGTTTAAATAATCACAGGTTCACCAAATGAACCTCATATTGCAAGTTTAACTTTAGCAATCACATTAAGATTTGGCTAATTAAGGATCACATATTGGTGAAATAAATCTATTAAATAAATCTTTTTAAAGGCTGCAACATATGCCTCAGGGTTCAGGTGTTTAGCTATACAAGTTTGATTCTTACTATTTCTGTCATTTCATTAGTAAGGGTGTAAAACATAAATTAACTTAGATGTGCCATTCACTACCTGGATTTAGACCCTCGCCTGCAAGCAAACTTTAATTTGAACATGTTAGCACAGAGGCTAATCTAATTAAGGCACAGCAAGTTGTCAAATATTCAAAATGTTTCCTAAAAAAGAACTGATTCAAGAGTTAGATAGCTCAGCTACACTGCAATAAATGAAATCTAGATAAGTCAGTTTTTTTTAGAACAAAAAATAAAATAAAGTGGATTTGTTCTTGAATTGAGGGGGTAAGTGAGACAGTCTGCCAATGAGACAGTTTACATTTAAAATAAGGGGGGGAAATGCATTATCTTATTCCAAATGTATATTATCTAGTTATCTTAGTTTAAGAGTAAAAATACCAATTCCATTGGCAAATCATCTTATTTACCTACTCAAATTAAGGGTAAATACACTTAATTTAAGACATTTTTACTTATTTCTAGATCGTTTTTTGCAGTGAACAAGTTTTGTTTTATTTATTTACTAAATTAACTAAATCTGAATTCAAACCTAAATTCTTCCAAACCTCAAACATCCCAGCTCTTCAGTTTGCTGGTTCTTTTCAATTTTAGCGGATATTTTAATTAATTAAACTTCATATAAACACATTAGTTTGACATTTTTCTGTTGGACAATTGGAAAACAAAAAACATGCTTAAAAAAAAAACATTTTAAGTTAAATTATAACATTATTTTTAGTCAAAAGATCAGATAATTTAATACTTTTATCGTACAACATTTTCTTTTATACAGCATATTTGCATGCTGTTAAGATCATGTTTTCCTATTTCATAGACTTAAGACATATGATATTAACAATGAAGTAGCAATCACTAAATCACTACCACTGAGGCTAAGCGCTTTTCTTTAAAAGTCCTGAACATGATGATAGATTAAAGTCAAGTATCATCTGAAAAATTAACGGTTTAAATAAAACTGATTTTAAGATGCTATAAAATAGCACTGATGTTAAAAGTGGCAGAGAAAGAAGCTGTGTAAAACTGACTAACTGAAACTAATAGTATTCCTTAGATTTTATTACAAGGCTTAAAAAAAGGTTTTCTTAAGTTTTGAATTCACACTAACAGCATCTTTTAAGGACAAATAAGTAAACTAGCAACAAAAAAAGGAATATTTTGTTTAGTTCTAAAGTGAAACTCCTCGACTAAACAGGAGTTTTTTTCTCTTATGGCTCTGAACTAAAAGTATTTCTATAATTTATTATCTTGCTTGTGATTCTGTGTTAAAGCAAATTTGCTCTGGAGAACACAATTAGTAGCTTTACATTCTTATTGAGATGTCTTGAACAGGCTGTTTTGTGTCAATCTTTTCATATTTGAGCCACCAGCTCCAGCTTTTGGTACGAATATTTATTCAGATTGCAGGAGTCTGCTGCTATATTAGAAATGAAAGTTTAAAGAGGACTCCACAGAATCTGTTCAGTATTTCTGCAATCTCCCACATTCAGGCTACCGTCACTAACTGAATAAAAGTGTCCAATCCTCCTATTTGCTGTGTTGACAGAAAGGTCCTGGGAAACAGAGATGAAGGTCAATCATCTGCATCTCAACACTGTAAAACGAACACAGACTGTTTGAAGACAGAAGAAAATCCATTACACGCACATAAAGCCAGTGTGATGAGGTCATTTTTTAAAATAAATGCATCTAAATTGTTATGCATGTGTCTGCTCCTTTCTATAAACAAACACGCTGCTGATATCTCACCATTTGATTTTTTCATTTTACAGGCAAAAGCATTTTATTTTTATAGAGATTGTATCTGATATAGAATCCAATCCAATCCACTTTATTTATATAGCACGGTTAGAAGTATAGAAGCATAGAAGTAGCACGATCATTATGAACTAGGAGAAATGGGATGTGTATCTTTCTGAATTTTTTACAGATTAAAAATGCGAAAAAAATACACGTATTTATTATCAGATCCTTCTAAATAGTATTTTGTGTAAATTATAACCTTAAGATTAGTCAGCAGAGTCATCTGTGTGTATTTAATCCCAGAATTAATCCAGGAAGCTCAATGCTTTTGTACTTTACAGCATTAGTGAGCAAAGACAAATAAAGTAAACAGAAGAGAATTAAAACCTCCAAACATCTCACAGAGCACTGTTAAGTCTATCACCAAAAAAAAGTTTAGCACCTCGACGTAACACGGATATGGACATCCTTCTAAATGTACCAAGATGCTGGGAAGATTTTAAGAAGCCATTGTCTCCTTGGAGGAGCTGCAGAGATTTCCTGTGTGATCTCTACAAACCTGAGCTTTGAGGAAGAGTGGCAGGGAGCCGTCCCGTTGCCACTAGACACATTGAGGACAAAGGAAACACGTGAAAGAGAGTGATCTGGTCAGATGACAGCAGAACGGAAACTTCTGGCCTACAGGCAAAACCTAACACCATAGAAAAACTTTAGCATATCATCCTCAAAGTGAAGTATAACGGTGGCGGCATCATGGTGTGGGAGTCTGACTAAACTGATGGGAATAATACAGGGCCATGCATCATGACAGACTCAAAGTATATTTATAAGACTAAACAATCTGTTGAAATTCCAGATCTAAATACATAT